TCAGTATCTCCGACGATGTGAGACAAGGTTGCCTGTTGCCGCCATACTTCTTTAACTTCGCCATTGAAACGACTTTCGCTGGACACGGCTTACAAGGTACGGAGCTGCTTCCTGATGAGCGACTTCTCCTAAAGTATGCTAACGACATTGCCCTAATATGTGGCAACTTAAACTTGCCAAGCAGTGCTGCATGAATTAGCTCCAGCTTTCAGTCGTTTTAGACTATGCTTTGCACCGTTGAAATACAAAGTCCTTCTCTAAAACTGGCAGCGATCCACTCCTGCGCTTACCCTTGGTAGTGCTCAGTTCGACCTTTTTCTTAAGTTTATGTACTTAGGTAGCCGTATTAGCGCCAGTGGAATTGTAGTCGAGGTCACGAACCGTATAGCAAAAGTTTGAGGCGCTTTAGCCAATCTCTGCAACCTGCGGCGCCTGCGTGACATCATTGTCGCTCTGGAGAGCAGTGTTTACAATGCACCCGTGCAGTCAATCCTCCTATACGGTTGTGAAACCCGACCCAACAGATTCACAAACCTAGTGAAACTAGTTACGTTCGACAACCGCTGCCTTGGAATCTCAGCTCATGTCTGGTGGGAACACCACGTGAACAATAAACGTGTTCACCGTCGGTTAATTGGTGTAGGAAGAGCAAATGAACCGATGAGCACCACTATATCACGTACCAGGCTCAAAAAACTGAGCCATGTGTTGCGCATTCCAGCGCACCGAGGGTGTAAGAAGGGGAGGGGGAAAGGACTGAAAACCTTCATTTTGAAGTTCGCATTTGTCGGTGCCTCCCGATTGCCAGGCTGTGGTCCGAAGGACGATGAGCACGATTGCTTGGATACACTGGTTGACTCGGCGAAGAGCGGACCTCAATCGCGTTTGTGTTGTGAATTTCTTCTCCACCCCTTGCCTTTTAGCTTCCTCTTCCAACAACGATCTCATGTCCAATACACAATATATTTAGCATTACGTTATTTGTTTCTGTAGTCTTTAATGTCTTTTGTAATGCAACACAATAGCTGAGGTCTGTTTCTCTCCCTCAGCTAGCGTGTATCGATCAATTGATTGTAACTGCAGCGAAAACCGCGCCAAAGAAGATCTTGTTTACGTGTAGCGGTGCATGGGACACGTAGTCGACGTGCCAGTGTTAGTGAGCTCGGACTTACAGCCCCTAACTTCCAGCACTGTGCGTGCGTCCGCACTGGCTGTGCGTGCCGTCTTCTTATTTGCAAGTAACTATATATATATATATATATATATATATATATATATATATATATATATATATATGGTTGGCGGCATCCGGTTTCGGATTTACCGTGTAGCGTTCATATCCCCTACAAGTACTATACTATCTGAACTAGTAGCACTGCGCAGTAGCGCGTTCAGTTCGTCATAAAATGTGTCCTTAACTGCATTAGGACTGCAGTCGGTGGGAGCATAAACGTAAATCACAGACAAACAGCGTTTTATACTACTTCGTGAATCAACCTTAGTGGATGTCCTCAAACGAGCTGCACATAAACGGTTGTTCACCGGAATCCAATCAATCAACAATGGCACAGCGTTGGCGCTTAGAATGATACCTACTCCAGCTTGATCCGTGAATGCTGCATCGACGTCTCCGGATGCGTGCAAACAATAACGGGAGGATAAGCTTGTTGCAATTAATTCAATAACCCCATTAGGGTAATTTATCCTAGTTTCGGACACGCAACACACATCAATACCCAGTGTGTCTAAGGTGCGTGCGAGTGCAGCCTGTTGACCTGTTTGTCTTAGAGTGCGAACGTTGAATGTCGCCATGGAAACGGGATAGCATGGCCTTATAATGGAATTTTGCCGATAGGTGCTGTAGGATGGTGGTTGCAGATTGTTCTACTCCGGTGGCACTTCGGTTGCTGTCAATTAAGCTGGGAATTATAGAAGGAAGATTAGTAATGGGAGTCGGGATGAGAGTAAGAGGGACAGGTAGAAAAGAAAGATGGAAGGCGCCAGCAGCAGCATGTTTTCGCTTATCCGCCCTGCTGTATGCAGCAGATAAGGCGACCCTTGATAATCTGCGCGACGGCCGATGCAGGATGAAGTTTATGTTTGAAGAAAATGTCATGGTTGTATGTGGGCTGAGATACTGCCAGGGCGCCCAGACCTAGACAGGAGGACGATTAGGGTCCTCATCCAAAGCCTTTGGCTCAGAAGCCTGTCCGCAAGGCAGCGGGGAGGTGGCAATGATTTAGTTTTGCAGAAATGGACACCATCCCATTTCAAACTTCCAACCTGGAGGACCAGGAGACTGAGTTTGTCTGACCTATAACCATTGACCAACCTGGTAGGAGTAGCTCTCAAGATGCTCGGAGGCATCACCCAGTATACCTCAATGGATCAATGTGGTACGCAAACCGTCGCACCACGCTAAGGTCAAGTCACGTTGCGACGGAATACTATTGGTGCAATTACGTTTTCGGTAATGATACCAACCTTACAATATAGATGAAAGCGCTGTATGAACGAACTATGCTGTATTTTTCTTCTGCGTATCTTTCACCAATAAGTTGTTTGTCCCTGAAGGACCGACAGATATTCTCTATTTTTCTCCAGCCTGTTTGTGGAAATTAACACGAACGATCCTTTTCTATCTGTTCGCGGAGGGAATTCTGCAGTAGCTGACAGATTGGCAAACTCTGAGTACGTGGGACCAGTTGGTATGCATTGGCTACTGAATAGACCAACGCAGAATTGCATGCCTTGGCATGCTTCTCCCATCTACGAAATAGAAGCTGTTATTACAGAACTGCACCAGCGCCCCATCTCCTTGTCGCCGCCAAACAGTCTCTAAAAATGCTCTGTTGGATGAGCTATCTAAGTGTTTGTTACATCTTGAGTGGCTTTGGTGACTACTGTCTACATCAGAAGCACAACACTTTCTGCTTCCAAAGTCGAAGTTGTGATGAGAGCATACAAGCTGAGGGACCGAACGAATCGGCAGCACACTGTGGATAGCCTAGTGGGTGCGAACCGCGCAGGTTTACCGCTTAGTTGACATTTGAATGTTTTATAGTGAGTTAGTTAGCTGAATCAAAGAAGTAGCTTCGTTAGAAATGGTATTCGCATGGCTAAACACATCAAAACAATTTTAATGGCCAACCGTACCACCATTTTTCTAAGTTTACTGAGAACATTAAACACTTGTCTCTGAAGGACCTAGTTTCTGCATCTCACTCAACTTTTAATCTGACTGGTTGTCAACGTGTCAGTTAAAAACAGCGTATAGTACAGCGCGGCAAACTTTGCTACCGTATGGATCAGGGACATGCCCGTTGGGTGTTCAGGAAAGTAGGCAGCTAGGTGTCCTTGACCACCAGTGCTCGCGCATCATCGGTCCTATTTAGTTGGACATTTCGAATGAGCAACACTAAACGGTTCCAATTTACGATTGGAAATAGTAACAGTAATGTACCGACGATTCTACTGCTTTTCTTTTCCATACGGTAACTGGAGCCTTGCTAACGGAAAACGCTGTCTGGGAACCTTTGCGCTTGCACCGTGACGGTAGCACCCGACTACAAACAGCAGTTTTTTTGTAAGGGAAGGTTGCATCAGCGAGACAGCTTACTTGCGAGTCTGACGCCAGGTGCAGACTAGCCTTCCTCCACCGACTGCATAGCGTCAGGTACGTTTTAAGCAAGAAGTGTGGATAGGAGGCGAATAAAATCGCGCCACTGTTACCGGTCTTGGGCTGTTCACCTAGGCTGTGACCTGGGGTTTCTGGTAACAAACTACTCAGCACCATGCCAGTTCATCTCTTAATTTTGAACTATCTACGCTAGCCTCGAATACGTGTTAACTGCCTGTCTGGTCTTGCATTGATTTCCAATTCATACCTGATTGGATGCCACCCCAATGTGATCAGCCAAAGACGGAACAAGGAGTCATAACAAATTAACTGTGATGCTCGTCAGGCCTGTAGATTTGAGGCCAACTACATTCCTAGATGGAGGCCTTTATTGTCATCGCGCTGCTTGAATGTCGCTCCATCTCTTGCGTCCAATTGTTGACGTTTTTACCCGCTTCACATCGCTCAACCTCTTCCATGACTCTTTTATAGTTGTGTTCTCATAATTTCACTGATTGGTTTTAACTTGGCGACATGACGGTAGGTGAGCCAGTCGCACTTTGATGCCTGAATCATGGTCGTTTCAGTAAACCGAACTAATTTGTGCTCGAGCTCAGTGTGTCTGTGAAGCTCACATCTCTTACGAACGGTTGCTTAAGGCACCGAGCATAATAGGTTCACGGTTTTCGTCTCATTTCTTTGCACGATATCCTTACCGCGACCCTAGCTACCCGGTCTCAGACCGTGCTGTTCCATATTGGAACCTTGACAACTCGACACAGCACTGCTCCTTCATCCAGCCACCTTTGTTGTTCGCTCACGGACTTCCTCGCTAGCCATTGATTACGCGAGCGAGGAGAAGCCATCACTGGCCACGGGTGAACAACTGGCTAAGAGGCCAGTGGATTGCGATCCTGCTTAGCTTCATTCCTACTCCTGCTGGTTACATTCCTTTGGACTACATTATATAGAAGGTCCCTCGAAATCGGATGGGATATGAACATTTTTGCGGTTACTTGCTCTTACCTTTTCATGCATGTCCGCACTACTCACTTATATTCGTGGGTCGGTACTTCCGAACAGCTCTAATCCGTCACCTGAATCCATTTTGGCGTACCATCTCCTTCCGTTCATCTCTAGAATCTCCTCCAATCTGTGACTTAATCCGTTTGATTGACCATCCTTCAACTGTCTGACAGTTGCGCAACGTTTGTCCCTACAGACTTTTAAAGATAACCAACAGCTGATGTTGTTTATTTTCTGTTTCGACACAAGTACTCTCTTCACTTCTGTTTTAAATCGACCCTTAATTCCTCCTATCCACTCCTTTGTTTTTTCATATGAGAACTCCATCTCTTACCTTTTGTTCTATTCCTAATAGGTTATTTTGCCCAACCAGCCCTGGGAACCGGTTCAGATGGGGGTGTGTCGTCTCAAAGTATTGGCATGCCCTCTTTGCCGGGTATCGGGTGGCAACTTCCTAATCCACCTGCTTATGTCGGAATGTCAATGCCCCAACTACCTAGCTACAACTCCCCTTTTCCCGATTTCGGCATACCACCGACTCCGCTTGGGGGACCGCAGCTCGATCCCAGCTTTATACCCCTACCAGGTGATCCTCAGCAAAGTGAGTATCACACCCAACTTTCTTTATTTCTCTCGTTTGCTTTACTATTTTTGGTTGCTTTATTTATCAGATGTGAATTACTAAATGCTTCCATATCCAGATAAGGGGGACACATTCCCAACTATGGACAGTCGGTTAAACCTATAAGGATCATCTTTCAACCCTATGGTACTACTCTGCCAGATCAGTCAACAGAAGACACTCATCATCATCATCACCACTAGTACACTTGAGCTGAGGATGAGAAACACCCGTCAGCTATTGTCTCCCATTACAAAAAGATAAGATACTAAATATTACAACCGACTATGTGCAGTTCGGCTTCGGGTTTCATGTAAAATCAACAGGCACCGCGAAGAGAGACGTAACCTGCCTGTGATCTCCGTGTACGCTCCAACTGACTGCAGTTGCGACTCGGTCAAGAACGAATTCCACCAGGATCTACATAACCTCTTGACTAATGCTAAAAAGTCAGATGCCGTTATCCCTGCTGGGGATTTTAATGCACGGGTTGGCCGCCTGTTGCCATACGAACGCCACCTTGGTGCTCATCACGCGCTCGATGAGAACCGCTCTGCTAATCGAGAGAGGCTTCTCACATTGTGCGAAGATAACCCTCTGTTCCTCTCTGAGCACTAACTTCAGACGTACGAAGAAACGTTCCGTACCCCTTCGCCAACACATCCGTGGTCTCAAATTGATCACTTTGCAATTAGCCTCAGATGGCGCGGCAGCGTACTGGACTGCAGGTCCTTTTGGTACACCTTCGTTGACTCAGCCTATGCACTGGTCTGCGCGAAAATTTGTATGTGTTTTTGGGGGTTCCGAAACACGAAGCATTGCAAGATTGATGTAAACATTCCTCTGTCCAGGCGATCTATCAGTCCTCACTAGCATATGCATTCATTTGCAATCCACTGCAAAACGTGGAGCAACACTAGACTTGTATACGGAAAGCGATAAGCATTTTCGGACAGTCTAGCTGCGGCCTAACTCGACGCCCCCTAAAGGCTTGGATCTCTGCTAGTTCTCTGGATCTGTTCGAACGCCGCAAAAATATCCCCGCGGAATCAGATTGCAACGAGCGGCGCCGTTCTGCCAACCGGCTGCTCAAGCAAAGCCTACACAATCATCGCTAGACATGGTGGTCTGAGCGTTGTTTTAGAGATGGAGATCGCTGCCCTCCCTACCAACACTCGTAGGCTTTTCCAAATCATTCGGCCTTCTGGCATCAGGAAGCATGGTGTCAGTGAGGTCCTTTGCGAAGTGGATGAGTCTCCGATCACCAATCAACAGAGGCGTATGGATCTCTGGGCCGAGCACTTTCACTCGCAGTACAACTGGCCTCCACCATCCATCAGCACATGCAGTACACCTTGTTGTCCACCCTGGCTCGTCCCACTGAATCCACCCAGCGAAGCGGAAATCTGCCTCGAGATTTGACGCTAGAAGCGGTTCAAAGCTGTCAGCTCAGATGGACTTCCTCCCGAGCTATTCAAGTCGTAGTAGTAATCTAAACAATCTAGAAACTAGACATAGAGCCAACATAAAATCATAGAGATCAGCGGATAAGTAAGAGTCATCGAGTCATAGTCATCGTGGCATGCTACCTGAAGGTGAGCAACACACTTCAACTAATATGCCGCAGGAAGAATGGAACATTTTGACAAAATGTATAACAAGACACTTGTAGTTTGTTTTTCACACGCCGTTTTTGAACTTTTTTGTCATTTTAATGTTTGGAGTATTAAACATGTGAATCCATACAATACTGTACACAATTCTTCCACTGATTCCGGTTACGGGCGATGTCTTCAAGAGTGCTAATTCACTGACACTCCTCATCTTTCTGTCCCCATCCTGGAAGATGTACGGATCCAACAGCGGCTAGACACGACCTCAGCGAGTTCATGCGCTGCCGCCATGTAGAAGGCTGACCACCACGCGGTCTCCTCCATCCAGGTCCTTGACGAGCGAATAGAGCGCGACGCGGTAGACGCTCAGGTGTCATGCGTAGGACGTGACCGAGCCATCTTAACTGGCGCAACAAAACCAGTTTGTTGAAAGGAATACTCGCTTTCCCAAAAATGGGACATTGGACATCATTACTATTAACTCGATGTTGCCACCAAACCTGAGCAATCCTCCTTAAGCAACCGTTATCGAAGGCAGAAAGACGACGCATGTCTTCCACACGAATCGACCAGGACTCGCTCCCACACAACACTACTGAGCGAATTGATGCGCTGTAAACGCGGCTTTTTAGTGAGAATGAGACGTCGCGACAACACCGCAAGTGCCTCAAATTAACGACTGCTGATCGAGCTCTAGCGATGCGGAGGAAACTTCTTTGTTCATAGTGTCGTCATCAGAAACACAGCTCCCAAGGTAGACAAAACTATCTACCTGTTCAAGTTGTGCACATTCGAAAGTGAGCACAAGAGCAGGGGAAAGCCAATCCTTGAGCAGTACTTTACACTTCGATGGGGCGAAGCTCATGCCATACTTACATGCCCCAACCGCAAAACGATCCAGAATGAGTTGCATACTTTGAGGATTGTCATCAACTAAGGCGTTATCATCAGCATAATCTAGGTCGGTCGCGCCCTCACCCGGTAGAAGCTCTAAGCCAAAATGTTGGAAACTTCCCAGAGCGTTCGACAGAACGTCTTCGATTGCGAGGTTGAAGAGGAATGGGGACATAGGGCAGCCCTGTCGCACACCGCTATTGACAGCCTGTGAAGTCCTCCTGCACATGATCTTGAAACTGAAAATGTGGCAGTTTCATTGGTTGAACCAAGGTCACCATCATGAGACAAGCGAATCATCTTAGAGCCAAATAGCTGGAAGCTGTATCCAACCGATCTCGTTAGAGTCTGCGTTCCCTTACGTCTCCTCTTTAATGAATCGCATAGGTTTTCATCTTGGTGTTCACTTGCATCGGAATCTCTGACTTCCGGCGTCGATCCGTCCATCTTCTAGGTGCTAACTTCGGTATAGAGGCAGGAATTGGAGTCTCCTGTTCCGGTTTCGAGTCTTCTGGGCTGATACGGAACGTCTAAGAGCAAATCTAACGGCAACGTGCTGCGCGTTGGCGATGCATTCGGAAACGAGATTGTAACTGATTTGCGTACCAGACCCAAACCTCGGAATCAACAGCAGCGTCCTACGTGACACTTCCAGTTCAACAAATGATACGTCCTGGAGTCCAAGTAACCTAGTTGTTGCGGTAGTCCTTTTCCAGCCATTTAAAGAAAACTCGGTTCTGAGCACCGTGTCTCCTGTTGAATTGCCGTTCCAATTTGCAGTTTCGGTTTAGGCTGTTCCTGTCAGATTGTCTAAGCAGTTCAAGGCTGGATCGCGTTTTCCGTTGCATCAACGCTTCAGCCAGGTGATTTACCTTGGGGAACCTGCGGATTTGGAGTTATCCTGTCGTCAAAAAGGAAAATTTTAAGGGTCTCAACCGTCAGCACCTTCTCCTTTGCCTTCAGTAATGCCCTCTTGAAAATGTCCACGAATCGCTTTGCTAGGCCGTTCGGCTGTGGATGGTATGGTGGTGACCTCATGTGGGCTATATCGTTTTTATTCCACTAGTCCTGGAAAATGGCTGAAGTGAACTGAGTTCCATTATCAGTCACTAATGCGTCCGGATACCCAAAGCGACTGAAAATCTGACAAAATGCAATGATGATCGTTGAGGCAGTAGTGGATGGTAGGTGCAGTACCTCTGGCGACTTACTGTAGGCGTCAACATGGATACGGTAATTGTTTCCATTAATAGGTCTAGCATAATCGGCATGCAGCCTCGACCATTGTTTCCCATGATCCGGTCAACAATGGAGCTCTGCTTTCTTTGGCGACTTTGAGGCAAGTGCGCATTTGAAGTAAGAGCGGGCAAGCTCTTCGACTTGAACATCCAGATGAGGCCAGTGAACATAGCTTCCGGTCAATACCTTCATATGGTTTATTTCCGGGTGTCCGGTGTGGAACTGCTTCAGAATTCTCAGCTGAAATTCCTTGGGAACCACTACTCGTTCTGAAAAGAATGGGCGCCTGTCGACAATTGCCAGGGAATTGCAACGCTGGTGAAAGTGCTTCATTTCACTGTTTTCAATCTTTTGTGGCCATTTTGATCTTTAGAAGCGGATCACTTACTGGAGCGTGGGATCATGTGATGTTGCGACGCGTATCTGAGAAGCTATTACTGAGCTGGCTTTAATTACATCTGCAACAACGCAATGAACTTCAGCCTCGATCGGGATGCTTACCACTACAACGTCCTCTAGCTCCTATCGACCTTTATCCATGAGGCATGATAAAGCATCGACCTAACCATATTCCCAGTTGATTGGTACTCAATTTCGAAACCATATCCCAAAAGCATTGCGGCCCACCTCTGAAGGCGATTTGCTGAGTACACGCGAATGCGCTTCTTGGAACCGAAGATAACAACTAGGGGCTTGTAATCCGTGGTGGGAGTGAAATGACGGTCATAAAGCATTTTGGGTAATTTCTTAATAGCATAAATAATCGCCAATGCTTCTTTTTCAATTTGGCTGTAGTTACATTCTGCAGGCGTCAACGATCGGGCGACATGAGCAATTGCCTTTACCGTTCCGTCAGCTAAACGGTGAGATACAAGCGCGCCGACTCCGTAGTTCAACGCATCTGCAGCAACAATGATATCCAAGTTCGGATCGTAATGTGTCAACAATAGGTCTGACAATAGCATGGCTTTAATTCTGTTAAAAGCTTGACTGCATTCCATGCTCCAACACCACTTGGAATCTTTGAGAAGTAACGCGTTCACTGGACCTGGTATATCATGTATTGCTGGCAAAGATATACTGTATATATATATATATATATATATATATATATATTTGCATAAGTCTGTTAACAGACATAATGCCATCAGAAACCATGGGATTCAAACAAAGGTACAGAAACAGTAAAATAAAACACAACACAACAATGTCCATGGTTTCCTCAGAGGGCGA